TGTTTCCCTGTTCAAGCTGTTCTAACAATAGCTACATACTTTGTACTTTGATCATGTACATCAGATTTTTCTATGATAAGTTGGCTCAGATTGCACATGCTGCAAACACTTTCACTAATCGACATGTGGCTGCACACTGCTTGACCGAGATCTTCTGCATGGATGGACACATTTTATGGCGTGGAATATCTTTCACTATGTCAGGAGATAAAAGGCACCTTAACGCATAGTGCACTCATACATGGACCTTCCTCTAGCAGAACACAGGATATGGGATATGTGCCTTAACTCGTTCAAAATATGAGCCAAAGTATCCGATAATTGTACGTACGTATATGTATAGCTTCTGTGTCTCTTTTTTAGCTGGAATGATTATATTGTATTATTATTATTTTTATGCATGCATGGTGAACTTTCCCTTTTATTACAATCACTACTTTCTAGATCAGTGTACATGCAGGCAACATACTCCCAGCTTCCTGGAAACGTTCCTCAGCCATGTTTGGAGTTATGAGTTCAGTTCATGTGGATGTATGATTTTTATGCAGTAAAATTTTCTTCTAAAAGTTCAAATGTATCACAGGTTGAGGATAAATAATCATATGCTACTATGTTTTTAGACTTGGAATCCTCCAGGATGTCCTCATCGAGGACCTACCAGTCCCCGAAGAGCTCTAACACTGGACCTTCCTTCCTGAAGATCCGCTCGCCGTTCGCATCATTGTTCTCCTTTAGGAAGTCAAAGCATGAAGTGAAACTACCAGCACAAGAAGAGAGGTAATGGAAGACCTTTATCTGTCTGGTTATTGTACAAAGTGTGGCTTATATATTTACCCCTAGAAAAGCAATCTGATCCCTATTATATAATCCGTATTTTCCTTTCCCAAGTGTCACTGAAATTGGGAGGGGCATCAGCTGACAAGCAGCCACAAGCCACATTATGCGCCACCAGCTTCTACCTGGCCACAGGGCTCCCTGGCGCTTGTTATTCCTGGATAACCAGAAGGATGCAAGTTGTGTTGTCCTATGCTAAAATGTTTTTGGAAAGAAAGTCTAAAACGTTTTAGGGGAAATTATGACATTCAGACATACCTAAAGTAAAAGTATGTTGTGGTGGGCTTTTTTTTTCCCCCCAATCTCTGGTGGTATAATTTAAACTACTAATGTGTAATTGTCAAGCCAAAAACGTTTTTTTCTGGTTTTGAATAGAGTGGGGAATAATTAGAACCCCTATGGGGTTTTTACTGCTATCCAGGGGTCCTTTAGACCCCCTGGCCGAGCTGACCATGCAGCCACCAGGCCCTTGATGCTCTTAATCCGGCTCTGCCCCTCGGTGCTTTGGAGGTACATTGGTGCCAAAAGCAACCTCAAACTACGGTACATGTCTCTACCCCTAAATTCTTGGCTCTTTCCAACTGTTAATTGGAACCACTTACACCCCCTACCCACACTCTATTGCTGGTCATACACGCAGCAATTATAGCCACTGGCAACCAGATTGTCATGATTAAATGAAAGTACAATAGAGACCTATTAACGATTTTGATAGTCTGGGAAACGTCAATTAACTTTATGGATTGAAACAGATTTAATAGAATAATTGAGATCAAATGGAAGGTGATCCAATACAGGAACACCCATCAAAGTAGGGATGCACTGATACCAATTACTGTACTCGGTACAAGTACAGATACTTCTGAGCTCCAAGACTAAACTAGAGGGATTTGTACATCTGTTTTAATGTATGATTTTGTTTTTATAGACATATATAAAGGGATGCACCGATACCATTTTTGCAAGTACTGATACATGCCCAAGTACTTACAGATACAAGTACTGATACTTGTCTAAGTACTTACAGATACAAGTACTGATACATTTTTGTTTATTGTCTTGTGACAGTTTTCCTAAAACAATACAGACTAATGATTTCAGGACAGTGGTGGAGCGCCAGAGACAGTTCCCAGCTGCAACCGCTGCACCCTGGTAGTTCTCATGAAAATGCCAAGTATCGGTGCATCCCTACTAAAAAGCAATCGGATTTTACACCATGTTTTTTTTTTCCAGTTGATTGGCCAGCTGTCATTAAAAAATGGTGAATGATTCATTCTGTTAATTTTTCTAATAAACATTGAAGCTAAATTGACATCTACTGTCAGTAACCAGCAGTACACTTGACCTAACCTATATAATAAACCATTAAAGGAGAACTATGATGTGCTTTTCACTCACCTCATAGTTCTAGCCGACCTGTGACAATGAGACTGTCACAGGTCGGCTCAGTAGATCGGGAGGTGAGGGAAAACATACCGGGTTCGCTCACCTCTCGATCCTGTCACGGCTCTCTGCCGTGATAGGGGGAGCGGTTGGATTCCCCTCTCCCCCCTCCGATCTGCCAGCGCTGACTGGCGGAACGGACGGGGGAGGGGGCGGGTACAGCTGGCTCTGCCTCTAGATAGGCAGAGCCAGCTGTCACTCACGCAGCTGGGCGGATCCCATCATCTAAGTCGGGATCCGCTCCGGCTGTGTCGTCTCAGTATACCGCGAGCTGTAGCTCGCGGTATACTGAGCTTAGGGTAACGGGAGGACGCTAGTTTGTGTTCTCCCATTACCCTAAGGAGAACTATGAGGAAAAACACTGACCCCATAGTTATCCTTTAATACGTAAAGGATCAGTTTACTATCACCAAATTTCCTCCCTTCCCCAAACAAGAACCCTAAGTCTTATACTTCCCTTACCGCTCCAAGATCTTTATGTGGCCCACTGGGAGCCACACAGCCTCTTCTCTCTAAGTCTTCCAGCCAGGCTCTGCTCACATGTGTGCCATAATCTTCATACATTCCTATGAAAAGGCTGTCCGTTCATAACAATGCCAGTCACAATTTTGTAGCCACTAGGGAAGTTGGCAGGAGGGACATGCCATGAGACTTCTGATCGCTCCTTCCATAAAAGGAGGAAAACCTTTTTTTCAGACTACTGGGGTGCTCTGCAGGTTAAAGGAAACCTGTGCTAAGAGAAATACCATTGCTGACCTCCATCTGAATACACCAGTCTCCCCGTTGTCTCTGGCCTCCGTACTTTCAAAGTCAAGGAGCTGGAGCAAGTATACAACTAGTGAAGTCAGAACTCTAAATTTGCAGACTTGTCTTAGATCAGTGATTGAGAAAGTATTAACACCTTTACAGCTGGCTACAGCCAGATAAGGGCTCCTTATGCAGGAGGTGCGGTAGGTTGGCTCCCGATCATGTGTTCATATACGCGTACAGCTCCATGTTCTAATTGAGAACTTAACAAGGGAAGCCTGTGTGTTTTTGTCAGTACAGATAAAGAAGGGTTGTTGCACTCCTTGCTGGAAATCCCCGTGTTCGGGGAAGGGTGCTTGGAATGACCGCAGATGATGCCGCCAGTTGCAAATAGTATAAGAGAAACGTCACCAGCACACCAAATTCCTTACAGGGTCAGATGATTGATCAATTTGATGATCCTTTAAGGAATTTGGTGTGCTGGTGATGTTTCTAGTGCTTTTCACTCACCTCATAGTTCTAGCCGACCTGTGACAATGAGACTGTCACAGGTCGGCTCAGTAGATCGGGAGGTGAGGGAAAACATACCGGGTTCGCTCACCTCTCGATCCTGTCACGGCTCTCTGCCGTGATAGGGGGAGCGGTTGGATTCCCCTCTCCCCCCTCCGATCTGCCAGCGCTGACTGGCGGAACGGACGGGGGAGGGGGCGGGTACAGCTGGCTCTGCCTCTAGATAGGCAGAGCCAGCTGTCACTCACGCAGCTGGGCGGATCCCATCATCTAAGTCGGGATCCGCTCCGGCTGTGTCGTCTCAGTATACCGCGAGCTGTAGCTCGCGGTATACTGAGCTTAGGGTAACGGGAGGACGCTAGTTTGTGTTCTCCCATTACCCTAAGGAGAACTATGAGGAAAAACACTGACCCCATAGTTATCCTTTAATACGTAAAGGATCAGTTTACTATCAGCAAATTTCCTCCCTTCCCCAAACAAGAACCCTAAGTCTTATACTTACCTTACCACTCCAAGATCTTTATGTGGCCCACTGGGAGCCACACAGCCTCTTCTCTCTAAGTCTTCCAGCCAGGCTCTGCTCACATGTGTGCCATAATCTTCATACATTCCTATGAAAAGGCTGTCCGTTCATAACAATGCCAGTCACAATTTTGTAGCCACTAGGGAAGTTGGCAGGAGGGACATGCCATGAGACTTCTGATCGCTCCTTCCATAAAAGGAGGAAAACCTTTTTTTCAGACTACTGGGGTGCTCTGCAGGTTAAAGGAAACCTGTGCTAAGAGAAATACCATTGCTGACCTCCATCTGAATACACCAGTCTCCCCGTTGTCTCTGGCCTCCGTACTTTCAAAGTCAAGGAGCTGGAGCAAGTATACAACTAGTGAAGTCAGAACTCTAAATTTGCAGACTTGTCTTAGATCAGTGATTGAGAAAGTATTAACACCTTTACAGCTGGCTACAGCCAGATAAGGGCTCCTTATGCAGGAGGTGCGGTAGGTTGGCTCCCGATCATGTGTTCATATACGCGTACAGCTCCATGTTCTAATTGAGAACTTAACAAGGGAAGCCTGTGTGTTTTTGTCAGTACAGATAAAGAAGGGTTGTTGCACTCCTTGCTGGAAATCCCCGTGTTCGGGGAAGGGTGCTTGGAATGACCGCAGATGATGCCGCCAGTTGCAAATAGTATAAGAGAAACGTCACCAGCACACCAAATTCCTTACAGGGTCAGATGATTGATCAATTTGATGATCCTTTAAGGAATTTGGTGTGCTGGTGATGTTTCTCTTATACGTTTTGTCAGTACAGGCTCCCTTTAAAAATACTTGCCTGGGAGGATGGAAATGCTAGTTACCTGACTCTTAAGGAGATGAGCAGTGGCAATATTTCTCTTCTGACAGGTATTCTGGGAACTGTGTGTTTTTCCATCCCGTTGACCGTGTATGTGCCATGCCTTCAGCTACACTCTAAGTTAATATTTAAGTACAGGTCCACTTTTAGAGCCATGTTTTTAATTCCATGGAAAATAAAACATTTTAAAATGGAACATGCGTTGTTAGTGGGAACTGTGTCCTCAGCTAAGCCAGGCAGAACCATTAGGGGATCTAAAGTTATTGAAGTGCTGAGGAGCGTGGAAACGAAAGTAATTACTCCCATCAGGAAATCCTGCAGTTTTCAACAGGGACACGCTACATGGATACATTTTCCCTCTGCTGTGATTAATCTTAATGATTAATAGCATATCCCATTAAAAGGGTGTGATTAATCAACTGAAGTTCTGGCAGTGTGACTGATTGGGATATTTGAGGACATTGTGCTACTTGGAGAGGAAAAATTTCCCGGGATTGCCTCAGAATACTATGTGTGGCAGCTGTCACTTAAGATACATGTCTTTAAATAACTAAATCTGAGAAATCCCCTGTAGACCAGCCCTTATGTGCCAACGATAGGGCATATAGAGAAGCACAGACTGGCATACTGGTACTTCCAGTAGAGATGCCGGGGTCATCCCCTTCAATTTAATTTCCTCCAAGACAAAACACGGTTGACACCCATTGACCACAGCCCAATATCTTTTTCCTAATTTTCATTCTTTAAATTGTCTGAACTGTAAAATGAACAATAGAATATCAATAAATACTTAACATTCCGTGCCACGTTACACACCTGTATTTATATCTGGGTGCTGCAGGCAGGGCCGGATTTACTCCCCCTGCCGCCCCAAGGCCAGGTACCACAATACG